CTGGTGTAGAGGAATCTAACTGATTTTTAGAAGTTGATTTTGTATCCTGCCACAATGCTAAATCTATCAATTAATTCCAGTAGATCTTTTAATGAATGTCTTGGGTTTTCTAGGTATGGGATCATATCATCAACAAATAGGATAGTTTTCTTTCTTCCTTACCAAAGTAGATGGCTTTGATTTCCTTTTCTTGCCTTATTGCCCTGGCTGGTAGCTTAGTGCCCAAAAGCACTTGACTGCTAACCAGAAGGCTGGCAGTTCAAACCCACCAGCCACTCCTTGGAAGGAAGGTGGGGCAATCTACTTCCATAGTGATACTGCCTTGGCAACCCAAGGAGGGTTTGCTATGAGTCGGGTCCTGCTCGATGGCACATAACAACAACAAACTGATTCTTAATACTTGTGCTGATATTTTTATATGTTTAAGCTGTATGTTTAAATTCAGCCCTTCCCTTATTATTGCAGCTGTTTAGAATCTGTCAACACTTTATCTATCTTATTATACAGTATTGTAAAGCAAGTGAGGGGAGTAGAGTGTGTTGTGAGGGTTAAAACCTTCAGGCCTGGAATTGGTCTGCATTGTCCTAGTGAAATAAAAGTGTACCCACATGTGGCTGACTATAATCAAGTCATGAAATAATTAGTAGTGCTGCTTTCTAAAAATGAGTCTATGAATGGGAATTTGGGGGCAATTTGTACCAGTTGTCATCCATGTCTCTTGATAACAGTGAAACTGATGATAAGCATCTGGTCTTGTTGAAACCCTGGAGGGCATTACTGTTGAGGCTGGTTGCATAGCAGGAATATGTTCATGTGACCAGCAAAAAATATAAAAAACACCAGTTGAGACTCTATTCTAAAAGCAGCCTGAAATATTACCAGTTGAGTTTAGAAAATTACCAAGAGAGAATGCATAATGGGATACAAATTGTTTTAATATCCTATCATTGATCACACTGGTAGGTTATTGAAATAAGAATAATAATAAATTTTAAAAAATACAGAGCAGGTCTCATCATTAACATCTCTTATCCTGCCTCTTTTACAAATCATCTAAAACATACTTCTTTTTCATCTTTTCAGAGCCCGTGGCTGTGGAATACAAGGCACTGCTGGTACAACTACCCCTATCAGGTGAGGAGACATTCCTTTCTGGTTTTATACCTGTAGAATATCTTCCTTAGGTCAATTCCATAGTTTCAGGCAGGTGCCAATAGGTTGCACAGTTTCCTTGCTATTGACCCCACCTGCTGAGTGACGCCGGGCGTAGCCCTAGTGAGATAAAAAGCTTGTATGTTCAAAGTGAAATTCAGAACAAAAGCCCAAATGCTTTAGCAGATGACATTTGCTGGAGGGTAGGCTGCAATCAGTCCAACAGGTGGAATATTCCTGTTTCTAACAGCCGATCTGTGTCTTGTTACTGAGGAACGTCTGAAGACCTGATGACACAACAGGCCTGTCTCAGCAGCAAATGTGGAAAGCTCAAATGTGCAACTAGAGCAGGCATGCTGACATCATTTCATTCTGTGGCTCAGGAGCAGTCCCCAAATATGTAAATCAAGCACTACTTCCTTAAGTGCAGAAAAATGAGCTTGTACCATTACTCATAGATGGATTATTCCAGCAATTAAAAAGAGCACTGTTTAAATTGAGATTGAAATCATATACCAGAAAGAGAGCATTTCAAATCCCTGCCCACTGACATACCTTTGCAGCTGTCCATGAATTATTTGTTGTGGTCCCCAATCAGCTAATGTTTGATTGAATATCAATGTCAAGATGTTCCTATTTTGATTAAAGTATGTTAAATAAGAGACACAAACATGACTAGATATTTCAGTAACAATAAACAGACATATGTTACAGTAAGCAACTTGGATATTTTAGTGTTACTGAGATTCTTTTGAGGTTTTTTTTTTTTTTTTGTAGAGACGTTTGGTCTCTATGGCATACATTAAGTTAATGGGGAGAGACTCATACATGGTATATTACATCAGGGCTGAGGGACAGGCACTGGATACTCCTCGAGCAAGTGGAAGCCTAGGACACATTGAAATGAAATTCCAGTTTGTGTTTATATCTCTTTCAAGTACTTTATTCAGATTAGAAAAGAATGTAAATAAGCAACATGTCATGACAGAGAACAGAGCATGCCACCGCTATCTGATAGAGACTAAAGCAACGTTGAAAGTAATCACTTATCATACACAATTGTCATTCTCAGGGCATCTGCTCTTTTACTATCTTAAATACTTGGACTATTTTCATTGAAAGTGCTCTTTTGTAACCTGTAATGGTACACTAAGTAGGAAAACCCACATGTATCTAAAATTCTATTTTTAAAGGTATATCAAAAGGCTTCTTAACTTGATGTTGATGTGGCAGCTGCTCTAATGCACCACCCTTAAGAGGAAAATTCTGTCATGTGAAAGACATTGAGAACAAATGCAATGTGAAATGCAATGCCATCTCTTCTCCTTAACTATAATGTAGTCTGAAATAACTTTCACATTTATGGATGGAGCTGAGAAATTGCTTATTTCTGAGAAAATTAGTTGCAATGCCCCTAAATGTAGTTGCAGACTATTTTACAGGTAACACTATAGCTTCAACATGGAAGTCTGAAGGCCTGATACAGTTATGTTTAAAAATAGGAGACATCATCAGTATTTAAGGAAAGCTGCTATATGTGGGGATTCAGGTCAAAATTAAATATCCTTCTACTAATAAGACATCATTGCTTATCCATGAATAACAACGGATAACTCCTGAAATCTCAGACAAATTCATGATACCTTATGGGAACAGTGGTCATCCTAAATAAAACTTATAAACTAATTAATAAAAAGCAACTGTGTGTATGTGTGTGTGTATGTGTAAAAATTATACCATATGTAATTATTATACATGTTGTTGTTGTTGTTGTTATGTGCCGTCGAGTCAGCCCCGACTCATAGCGACCCCTCCTTGGGATTCCGAGGCAGTATCACTACGGAAGTAGGATTGCCCAACCTTCCTTCCGAGGAGTGGCTGGTGGGTTTGAACCGCCAGCCTTCTGGTTAGCAGGCAAGTGTCTTAGCCACTATGCTACCAGAGCTCCCTATTATACATGTAATCATGGTTATATGTGTAATTATAGAGCTTTGTGTGTAATTATGTTTATGCAAATATGTAGATTATAATTCAAGGTCAATGTCAAGCCTTCTTAGCACTTTTATTAAGATGGAGCATTCTCATGAAACATGTTTATTAGGTCTTTAGCACATAAAAGAAATAATTCAACAGATTTTAGAGGGAGGAATAGTGGTCTGACTTCAATTTTAAAAAAGATATACTACTCCTTGTGTATTCGTATGCATATTACAGTGTGTGTTACATAAATGGTAAGTTTTTTAGATATGTGTGTGTATTTTAAGTTTAAAATAATGTAAAGTTGCATTTGGTTGAAGCTTATATAGCTTGTAATAAAGAAAGCGAGTTGGGCGTGAGAAGCCCTAGTGGTGGTCACAGGGCCTTATTAATTTTAAGACTGGATCAGCCCTTTAACCTGACATAACTGACAGCAATTTCCTGTCAGTGATTCAACCTAGAAATGATAGTACTAATTTTATAAGGTTTTTATGAGATTCAAATAAGATAACATGTGTGCAAGTGTTGTCAACTGCAAAGAACTCACGAATATAGTAATGCTATGCTCTATTATGAACTCAGCAGTTTCTAGACATATCCTAACTTGTCCTCATAACTCCTCTGTGCATTTTCCCAGGTGGTGATGCACGGAATAAGAGAGGCTCATTAAGAACTGAAATTTACTTCTATTCAACATCCTTGGTTTGAAAGATCTGGAAGCTAGTGCTCTATTTTTTTTTTAGATTTCACTGCTGCCATACATCTGACCTGAATGCCCATCCCTCATGCCTAATGACTTCAAGTTTTAGAAGGACAATTCAGGAGGAAATCTGTTCTCTCCAGTGTAATGCTGAGCATGATAAACACATTGGTATTCATCATCACTTAATAGTTTAGGATTGCTGGTTGGATAGTGTGCAAACCTGTCATGTATTTTGCTGTCAAAAACCTGTAAGAGAGTCAACTATTTTCCTATATGCCTGAGCTTCAAGTTGATAGAGTTGGTGGTTAAGCAAGCACCAGCTTCTTGTGATAGTCATTTGCAATGCTGTTATGGGTGTATAGGTTGTTGTTATTGTTGTTATGTGCCGTCAAGTCAGACCCAACTCATAGTAACCCCCCTTGGGTTTCCGAGGCAGTATCACTACGGAAGTAGATTGCCCAACCTTCCTTCCAAGGAGTGGCTGGTGGGTTTGAACTGCTAGCCTTCTAGAGGTTAGCAGTCGAGTGCCTTAGGCACTACACTACCAGAGCTCCTACTGGTATATAAAGTTTTTAAATTTCAATTGTATTTACCTTATATCTTGTTTGTAGGGGGTGGACATGTTTTGAGATCAGGTTAGAAGGTTTTTCATTCTAATAAAGCAAGACTATTCACTACAACTCAATAAAACAATTAGAAACAACCCATCAAAAATTATTATTAAAAATTGTTTTGTTGTTATATTTTTAGATGCAAAATAGATAGCCCTGACTGCCACTGCCTCTCTGAGCCTCTCCCTATCTCCGATCCTTTGAGGCAGGTAGAACAGGTATTGCCCTCACTTTACAAATAAGAAAGGTAAGATCCAAGTTCTGTATCTGCTAAGCTATGGAGCTGGGACTTGATTGCAGGTTTCCTGCTGGGTTCCTAGTCTGGTATCTCTTGGCAGCCTCCCTGTTGCTCAGAACCTTTAATAAATATTTTTGAGTCATCTTTTTTTGACATTTGAAATGTATTGACCATGTCCTAAGAACACGAAATCCTGGCTAATTAAGCATTTGAAACTCTATGCCTCAGTGACTCACACAGAGCTCCCATTTCCATCATCTACCTTCCTTTCCCCTGTGCTGTAGGATCCCCTAGCAGTTGTCCAGGATTATTCTCTTGTATGTGTAGGAGAATATTTTTTCCAAGTTGCCTAAGGAATCTTGCAGATACTCATTTCAAAGGATCATAAATGTTATTGTTAAACATGATAGAAAATTGGGTATCAGATGTTTATACTGATTAGTGCTTTTTTAGTTTTTAGTTGGAGAAGAAATGAAAATAATGCCTCAAGCTGTGGATTAGAGGCATCCTTCATAGCTCTGTTATTCACCAGGAGAATGGACCAGGAATTGGATTTATTCAGGCTGCCAGACCCTTTCACTTTTCATGATTGGACTTTAAATATTTGGGACACAAATTGGGTTCACTATTAAGGAGCCTTGGGAGCTCTGGTAGCATAGTGCCTAAGGCACTTGACTGCTAACCAGAAGGCTGGCGGTTCAAACCCACCAGCCACTCCTCGGAAGGAAGATGGGGCAATCTACTTCCGTAGTGATGCTGCCTCGGAAACCCAAGGAGGGGTCGCTATGAGTCCGTCCAACTCGACGGCACATAGCAACAACAACAACAATTAAGGAGCCTTCGTGGCACAGTGGTTAACTGAAAGGTCAGCAGTTCAAACTCACCAGCTGCTCTATAGGAGAAAGATGTGCTTCTGTAAAAGATTACAGCCTTGGAAACCCTTTGGGGCTGTTCAACTCTTTCCTATAGGGTCGCTATGAGTCATAATCAACTCGATGGCAAGAGGTTATTAACTATCGCTCTTTCCTTTTATTTCTTTCATCCTTAGCCGCTCACAACTGACCTTCACTACTACTACATCCTGGAGCTGTCGTTTTATTGGTCTTTAATGTTTTCCCAGTTCACTGATATCAAAAGAAAGGTAAGAGTGATTATGCTGTAATTGTTGAGTGGTTGCTGACTTGTGTCTTTAATGGTTTTTTGCAGGTGGGAATAGGGTTTCAAAGCACTGAACTCTGTTCTCTCCACAGCATGAGGTCAGTTCTACTCTGTGCATTATTACCGAAATCTTGCAATTTTGTTTGGGCTGTTGTGTATTTTATTCTAATTATCTCTTCACTCTTTCCCAAAAACCTAGTATCCTTTTCTCCACAGAAAAATATAGCACTGAATCCTGAGAGCAATAAGTTTCTGACAGTCTGATCTAAAGTCCTTCTATTCTGAAAATTAAAAGAAGAAATACTTTATTCATACCTCCTGGAGAAGAGTAAAATTCTGAGTGTTCTAGACCTACAGAATGAATTTTTCCCCAGTTTAAATATCTAGTATCAAACAGTGTCACAAAAATACGATATTCCTAAACAAAACTGATCTGTTTTTCACACGGTCCATTTAATTGAAACAACTTTTACTAAGGGCACACATGACCCACTCATTTCAGCTCCTCCCATCTTACCAGATGGGCAGAATTGGCAGTTTTGACTTTTCCCTGCTTCTTTTTTTTTTTCAATTATTATTTCTATGGTGCCATTTTCTCCAGATTTTTACATTTGGATCATTCTTTCAAAGTTACCTCTGCTGGCCACCATTTCAGTGCCTCATCCTTTTCATATTCATAAACATCAGGTTCTAGCTCTGGTTTCCAAATGGTAATCTCCATGCAAGATCATGCTTAAACACTCAGACATTTACAACCATAACCTATATGTCAAAAACTCCCAAATGTTCCTCTTCTGCCCCATATTCTCTCCAGGCTCATACTTACACAAATCTGGTCACAAAAAGCAGTTTCATTTTTTCATGTGTTTATCATATCAATTAATCCTCACAACAATTCTAAGATCTACTTTATTATTCATTTTTTATCCTCATTTAATGGATGAGGAAACTGACCCTTACAGACAAAGTGCTCCCAACTACAAGCATGCGTTCCCTCTAGGCATCTCCTTCCTTTACAAACTTTAGTAGCCAGCAACCATCTAAAACAGCAGGACTTCAAATATTTGAAGAGTGAAGGTTGTTTTCCTTCACTCTACTTTTTCTCATGCCCGATGCCTAGTTCTTTAATATCAGTGATGCTGATGGTATGATGTGAGTCCTTTCCAGTTTTGTCTCATCTATTACAATCGAGTCTGAAAGGATGTTCCTATCTAAATAGTCATTCTTGTCCAGCTGCCACTTTCTAGGAGCCCACTTGATGGAAGTTACGTTCCTAAAACCTTCAAAACAAAGCCCAAACTGCTGATAGTAATGTGTAAGGTTTAAACAGTATGGTTCAAATCCATCTCTCCAGCCTTATCACAGTACAGCCAGACTTACTCCTTAGAAACAAGAAAGGCCAGACTTTGTTTCATGTACTTCAGTCATGTTGTGAGAAGGGACTGGTCTCAAGAGAAGGATATCGTGCTTGGTGAAATAGAGAGTCAGTGTAAAAGGGGAAGACCCTCAACGAGATGGATTGACATAGTGGCTACAATGATGGGCTCAAGCATAGGAAATATGGGGAGGATGGTGCAGGACTGGGCAGTGCTTCATTCTGTTGTACATAGGGTCACTGTGAGTCGGTGCTGACTCATCAGCACCTAAAAACGAACAACAACAGAATGAATTCTGTGAACCTTGCTGTAAAATTACTCCTTTTATAGTGTTTTCTACACTGATGCTACAAAATGAAACACTACAATCCTTGAGAACAATCCACTTATGATAACTATTAAGATGATGGTAATTTGGTTTAAAGCAGTGAAAATAGCTTGATAATCCTGTTGGCTATGGAAAAGACACAAAACATGTGTGGTGAGAAAGCTCAAGCAAGTAGAGAGGATTGGAGGCTTTTGGTATACCAGTATCTCACTAGTACTAGGCTCCTGGGAGCCAAGAATAGCTTAGTTCTACTTTCATTAATCTCTTTGACTCTGTGTGTTATTGTTGTTGTTACGTGCCATCGAGTTGGATCCGACTCATAGTGACCCCTCCTTGGGTTTCTGAGGTGGTATCACTGTGGAAGTAGATTGCCCAACCTTCCTTCTGAGGAGTTGCTGCTGGGTTTGAACCACCAGCCTTCTGGTTAGCAGTCAAGTGCCCTAGGCACCCCTAATTCTAACTAAGCAAAAGAGAAATCACTAAAATGGTAAAGAGCTACAAAAGGCTTACTGCTACTAAAGTCAAGGGCATGGCAACAAGGCAAAACAATGCAAGAATTGTGTATGTGCCTAATCTAAGAGTGAGTCTCAGGACTGTGCTTGGAAATCTGGGTTCTAATCTATTCCTACATGCAAGGCTCTGAGAAAGTCACATAAACTAGTGATGTATCAATCTTCCCAACTACAAAATTGGAAGAATGTTTTACCTTCCTGTTTGTTATACAAGTGTTTTAAGTAATAAAGTGCCTCTCAGAAGAAAATGAAATGCACAGTGAACCTAGCACAGTGTCTGGCATATAGAAGATAATGAGTGTACAATTTTTGACCACATGAATAAAGAAAGTTCCTTGTATAAGGCAGAGGAGACCTACTGGCATACCATCACTGAAGGATCTTTAAATATTTCTAGAAACTGACCCAGAATTTTTGGTGTAATGGCTAAGGGAATCACAAAATATGAGTGCCAATGAGTCATGTGGTATGCCTAACTCCTAACGGAGCATTCACTTCTGAAAATCAGCCAATATACACCAAATTACGGCCTTACAATTACACAAGTTAGGAAAGATAGCTTTATTAGCCAGCCACTGCTGTAGGATTGTGGAAGACACATATCTTGGAAAAGTAGACTGAAGTACTAGGATCATAGACTCCTAAATGCTTTTCAGCTGCCACTCAGATACCACTTGTGATTTAGCAGATTACTGGTCTAACCAAGAAATAATATATCACAGTATTATGCTCCATCATAACACACAGTCATGTTTTCAAAAGAACTTGGAAGACAACCATTAATAAGTCAGATGATGTTCTGATGAGTCCATTCATTCATCCTAAAGCTACAGATCCCCACCACAAGTAGGCACATTGATAGTCATGAGGAACATAAAGATGAATGTACCATGTTCTTCATCCTCCAAGTCTATGAATGGGGAAGGAAGGTCACCACACCATTAGAATAGAAAATGATTAAAAGCCATGAGGTAGTTGAATAATGATAAAAAGAAAAGATTACTTTTGAGTTACTCTTGCTTGTTAGGGAGGAGGAGATGGGTTATATTCTAGCCAAACACAAGGTCTTGTTAAATAAATAAATAAAAGAAGGTATGGGAAATTTTATGTGTTTAGATAATGGTGAGGAGATATTTGTAGCTAGGGTATATGAGTGTGTAGGCAGGAGGCAAGTGATAAGGCTGGGGAGATGGGTTTGAACCATATTGTCTAGACCTTATACATTACTACCAGCAGTTTGGGCTTTTGAAGGTTTTAAGAATGTAACTTTCATCAAGTGGACTCCTAGAAAGTGGCACTGAACAAGAATGACTATTTAGATAGGAACACCCTTTCGAACTCAATTGTAATAGACTAGACAAAATTGGAAAGGACTCACACTATATTATCAGCATCAGTGATATTAAAGAACTAGACATCAGGCATGAGAAAGATTAGAGTGAAGGAAGACTCCTGCTATTTTAGATGGCTGCTGGCTAGTAAAGTTCATGAAGGAAGGAGATGCCTAGAGGAAATGCATGCTTATAGTTGGGAGCACTTTGTCTGTAAGGGTCAGTTTCCTCATCCATAAAATGAGGACAAATAATGAATGATAAGTAGACCTTAGAGTTGTTGCGAGGATTAAATGATATGATAAACGTGAAAAAATGAAACTGCTTTTTGTGACTAGATTTGTATGAGTCTGGAGAGCAAGTCTGGCTGTACTTTGTCCAAGACAGATTTGTTTCTTCGTCTGGCAGTCCACTATGTTGTTGTTGTTGTTGTTGTTGTGTGCCGTCGAGTTGGACCCAACTCATAGCGACCCCTCTCTGGGTTTCCGAGGCAGTATCACTACAGAAGTAGATTGTCCCATCTTCCTTCCGAAGAGTGGCAGTCCACTATATATTTGATATTCTTTGCCAACACCACAATTCAAAGGCATCAAGTTTTCTTCACTCTTCCTTATTCATTGTTCAGCTTTCACATGCATATGAGGCATTTGAAAATACCATGCCGTAGGTCAGGCTCACATTAGTCTTCAAAGTGACATCTCCACTTCTCAACACTTCATAGAGGTCTTTTGCAGCAGATTTACCCAGTGCGTTGATGACACCTGATTTCTTGACTGTTGCTTCCATGGATATTGATTGTGGATCTAAGTAAAATCCCTGACAACTTCAATCTTTTCTCCATTTATCATGGAATTGATCCTAGACCTATACACATTTTCATTGTCTAGAAATTAATTATACATTTCTCTGGTCAACACCAATAATCTTCTGTTATACATCTGACATCTCTATCTCCTTCACTTGGTCAAATACCGTTTACTTTCCTGATGCAATTGGCTTATTCTAGTTTCTTACACAAGATGGGAAATATTTCATCATCAGGCCTGCTTATTACTCAGCACAGGTTTTAATTAGTAAGGCCTTTTACTCTGCTGCTATCTCTCATTAGTTAGCTATAGCCCTTGATTTTCTCTTTAGCATCTTTCTTACTGGTACTCTGGGTCCTTAGGGGTTCCCTCCTCATTGCTCTCCCATGTGCTACACCTGCTGGTCTAGCCATCAGAAAGGATTTGTGGTATGTTCTGACTGCCAAGTGTTCTCCTCAGCTTCTATACTGAAACTGTTAACCACGATTTCTAAAAACTGCCTGTTTCCTAATTGTGGAATAGAGAAGATTGAAGACATTTGTTGACAAAATAGTATGGAAACTACCTTCTGAAGGCTGTTAGTAGAGCTGATAATAGGAGGGCTATTAAAATGTTTCTTTAGCTCCTCTT